AAAATTAAGTATATAGAGAGGTGCCCTGACTTGCCCCAGGTCAGAGGCAGAGCTAGGGACTCAGGTCTCCTGATTCTCAACCTAGTGCTCCATCCACTGGGCCATACGGCCTCTTAGAGAAACATGGAACCTGTTCAAGTGTATTCTAGCCCCATGAACATTACATTACAAAAACCAAACCAACCAAACAACTGCCTGATCTCAGAAGATTGAACAAAGCACCACAATATCATACAATGAAAAATAATGTTTCTCTGTTTACCTCAGGATCAGCTGACGTTTTCCAGTGACAACATCTTGTAGGCACAAAACTCAGGTGGATAACTGCTCAAGGGCGCAGTATGTACTTGCTCCTGGGCATAATTGACCTGCAAATCATTTTCATATATGTGATCTGTTTGGAGGTTAGACTAGATGACTCTTGAGGTCACTTCTAATGATAGGATTGTATGACCTGTGTAGAAAAAGGGTTAGTGTGATTCAGAGAGCATCTACCAGAATTTCAGTGTAATTTGTGAAAGGATTTTAAAAAAATTATTGAGGAGTGATTGGTTGAAATCTTTGTCTTGTGTCGTTCATCTGTTTCTCATCTTTTTCTGACTTACAAAGTAGTTTGCGGAGGATGTCGCACTATATTTTAATATTGTTTTAATAACTGTTCAGGAGACTGTGAGAGCAGGCCTGATTCTTCTGTCTTATACCAGCAGCCTGCCTCTTTTAGGAACGTTGGATTAGTGATCCTCTTAGTTAGGTATGCTGTTTCTGATAGTGGCCAGTTCTGAATGTCTCAGAGAAAAGCATAAACACCTCAAAATTCATGTAGACTATACTAGACAGTTAATGATAATTCACACCCTGAATCTTTCTATTCTGTTTTGTTTATTTAAGTTCTTATATCATGCACATCACCAGGGTATCCCAACACCAAAGGGAGATGATGGAGCTTATAGTTATAGTTTAAGTAGTGCAACTGCAGATTCTACTCCTATGAACATATAGTAAGTGTCTGTCTAGTCCATTGTTGAATCTTTAAGTTCTGTGTTTCCATAGTATTCTCCAGCACTAAGTTCAACAGGCTAATTAGACATTACATTGCATTAAAATGTATTTCCTGTATCTGATTTAAATGTGTGCCATTGCCTTTATAATTTAGACAAATTGAAAAATCTGATGTTCTCTATACAGTTTATTATTTTAGCTACACTACATATATATAGTATACTGTATCTCTGTTATGGGTTGCTTTACTCTTCTGCTTTCCGAACCATAACAATAAAAATCCTAGGCCTTCTAAAGTCTCTTGTTGCAGCCCTCCTGCCCATGCTGCCAGTCATTCTGGTTGCTCTTTTCTGAACTTTTTCTATTTCTTTCTGCTATTTTCTTCTTAGTGGAGATGAGGTGGCTGAAACTGAATGCAATGGGCAAGGCAAAGATATACAATACTGTTGATTAGTACAGTGTCACAGGATTATAATTATTCCTTCATTATTTTTAGACCCTTATTAATGCAACCTGATGTCTTCTCCCCCCTCCCCCCTTTTTTGACCACTGCTGCATATATAGGAGTTACCTCCCTTGAGCTGTCCATATTGATGCTTGGATATTTTTTATGAGATAACTAATTCAGAACCTATTAGTGTGTTTGAGTAGTTTAAAGTGTTCTTTCAGATATGCACCATGTTTCTCTTGTCTATGCTGAATTTCATCAGCTATCTTGGTTTTTCTTAAGTTTTTCAGTTCTTTACTACCCTCCCTCATCTGACTAACCTTCAGAATTTTCTGTGTCAGCAAATTTTGCCACCTTCTCTATTCACCACCTTCTTCAGGTCATTAATAAATATACTGAACATGAGTCCTACTACTTATCCCTTGGGAACCCCACTATTAACCTCTTTCCATGCTGAGAATTGGCCATTTGCTCCTACTCTTTGCTTCCACTCTCTTAACCAGTTTTTTTTTAAATACATGACAGGACTTTACTTCTCACCTTGTGGTTACCTAGCTTCCTTTATAGCCTCTTCTCAGGAACTTCATCAAAAGCCTTTTGAAAGTCTAAATAAAATATACCCACTGGGTCTCTTTTATCCACTGTTTTGTTAACTCTTTCAAAGGTTTCTAACAGGATAGAGAGGCACGATTTCTTCTTATATAGAAACCATTCTGGTTTGTCCATATCATATTACACTCATCTACTATTCTTGCTTTATAACTTTCTTTAATGATTTTCCTACACCTGCAGTGTGTTGCTTGAGAACAGAAAGCAGAGGGAGATATCTGTCTGTGGAGACTTTTCCTAACAGCCTTCTAGCTGGATGGTTTTGTAGCCTTTAAGCCCTGAGGTAAGGAAACAGGAAAACAGATTAATAGACATAGCAATCTTCCCCAAGATACTTTTAGATAAACACAGCCTTGGGCATTTAGAAAGTCGGATTTACTACACCTTAAAAGAGGTTTCTGAAAACCGTGGCTGTTTTATTTTAAAGTATGCAGCGAAAGGCCTGCTCTTCTTTAATCTTTGCCACTCTTCAGCAATAGACAACCAAAAATACAGGTCCCTGGGTTTAGAAACAGTTGTGTATAAACTGGAAACAATCTAAGTGCTGCTTTATAACAACAAAGATCTGTTTCAGGGCACTGAAGTGCATTGAACACAAGCCAAAACACATTTCCAATGTGCAAGCTTTACAGAGATAGATACACATACACATACATATTGGTAGGATAATACCCCCACTGATACTTTTCTGGAAGCAAATGAGAGTGCAAAAAATATAGCGAGATGCTTGTAGGTGGGTATCTTTTACAGACATAGTCATCAGTAGGTTCAAGGACTGACAATCAAAACTATACCTAATGTTTCTGATTTGATGATCACTCTAAGTACTCTTTCTGTAATACTTTAGAGCACAGTTGTGACCTATGTTATGCACCCACCCCACACAGGTGACCAAAAGGCATAATGCACCCTTTCCTTATTCTGCACGGGCTATCTGTATTGTGGGGTCACAGTACTGGGAGGCAGAGAAATTAATGTACGTTTCAGTGAAAAAACCTGAGGTTCAAAAGTTCAGTTCAAATAACCCCAAAGCATGGATGAGTATCTGAACCTTTCCAGACATATCTGAACAGTTGGATTTCCTGAATTGGGCTGGAGACCACAGACTTTCTTGTGAACTTTCTTTTATTCAGCCCAGAAATATCACAACTGTCTTTTATCACCAGAATCAGGAAGTAGAAAGGTTAACAACATACGAAATAACAGGGCAGAAACATTTTTCTGAGAACTGTTTTTGAAGCTCAGAAAAGGTTCATTTTCTTTGAGTTTGTGGGAGGAGTGAATGTAATTTGCTTTGCTTATTACTTTGGGAATGTAGAAGGATTGAGCAAACTGGCTGAAATTGATTCTGTATCTCTGTCAGAACAGCACTGCCATCTTAGATTTTCTGTTAAAATGGCCATGTTTCTGAGGGGTCTCAATCCTACAAGCTGCACAGGAACTGTGGGAGGTTCTGAGCACTGTCAACTTCCATTTAAAAAACAGCCAGCGGAGGTATAAAGAAAAAGATACAGAAACAATGGTGTTGCTTACAATCAGGGCTCCTGAGTGAGTGATATTGAAGTGAGGTTTTTACCCACCGAAAGCTTATGCCCAAATAAATCTGTTAGTCTTTAAGGTGCCACCAGACTCCTTATAGTTTAGGAGAGCAGTTTTTGTCTGTGATTTTTAGAACTTGATGTTTGGGAGCCAGATCCACATAGAAGCAAGTATAATAGACAGTTTCTAAGGATAAGCATCAGTACGTGCTGTATTTTTGAGATCAGAACCAGCACCTTATTTTCTCTCCTCTTCTCTTCCCCATATCCCCAGAGTTGTGTCTGTGTAATCTACACATGGTATTTATTGTCCTCCGCTTGTGGTTTATTCTGTTTCTGCTCTGCTTGATGCATAGTCTGCTCAGTCCTGAAGTGATTTACTAAAGCCTGTGGACTGTTTGGAATTCCACTAAACTGTTTTGGCAGACTTGATGCAGGTATTTCAGTGCCCTGCTTAGACTGATAGTGTTACTTTGGGAAGAGAAGGCAGCTCTGGAAATTGTTTGAGTTCAAAAGGAAGGAGAATCACTTTAATCATTCAGGCTCTTAGGAAACCTAAGACCCAGTGGGACTGTCTTTTCATAATCAAGACTGTCCCAGCCGATCAGGGGCATTTAAAGCAAGAAAATAGCCAAGCAAAGCCTTGCAGTGCTGAAGAGGGCCCCAAATTGTGCAAATGAAATTACTACCTCCCCTAAGCTAAAAAATGTACAGAAGAGGTTGGGGCTCTGAATTTCAGAAGGGGACTTTGTATTTGGAACTTCGCTCTCTTCCTCCAGAAATATGTGAATGGGTTTGGGCCAGATTCTCAGCTAGTGTAAATCAGCATATTTCCATGACCTAGTGCTAGTTTAGCAAGATGATATTTAGGACCAGATCCTGCATCTCTCTCTGACTTCTGTGGCATTGCGACCGACATCACAACTTCAGGATTGGACCTTAATCCTTTTCCCATTCATGTAAAGCACTCTAAATGGTTAGTGATTACAATGTCTTTCAGTGCTGGCCTGAACTTTATTTTATTCTGGAATTCATTATTTTGGTTGTTCCGCATCTGCTTTCTATCATGTTTTTCCTTTGGCAATTTCACTGGCTTCACTTGTATTTGTAACTTGTAATTTCACCAGTGTGGTCCAGCATTGTGAGACCTGCCTTGAGAAGGTCCCCACTTTTGCTCACTAAAATAGATGTCTGATTCCTATTAAAGTTTCTCTGCCAGAGCCAAATAGTGGGCACATGTCTGGATAAAGGATTATTTCAGCGAAGGTCTCTGAGGACTCCGAGAGGATATCTGTTGAGTGTGGTCTATCAAAGGCAGTCTACTCTGAGAACTCCAGTTACAGGTGAGTGACCTTCCTTTCTCCATCAAGAGCTGCTTCCATAGATTCCCACCATTGACAGTCTGACTAGCAGCAGCAAGCCCTGGAGGAGATCCCAGGAGTATTACTTAAAGAATGAAAGCCTGCTCTTCTGAAATAGTCATTTTATTTGGTGAATTGAAGTCCATGTGTCTGGCTTACAATTCTTTTGACAGGTAAGACATTTCTCACACATGCTATAAAATTTGCCTTAGATCTTAGCTGAATGGGCTCTCAGAGCATCTGTAGTGCAACAGCTAGCTCTAGGGGTGAACGTAATGGATGCCTAGTAATGAAGAAGCAAGGCCTGGCTGTAGTACTGACTGAACTACCCAGCTACCAGCTAAACACAAAAGAAATAGGGTGTAACATTAACATACTGGCTGTGTATCTTTGTCTTCTGCTGGGTAGGAAAAACAGACCTCTAAATATATGAAAGGAAGAGGTACCATTTTGGATGATGGAAGGGAAAATGTTTTATGAACTTGGTGGTTACTTGTTGGAAGTGCAATTTTGGCACAAAGATTGAAAATTGAACTCTACTGCTTGAGCCTATCAACATTGAATTGGACTAAAGGAGGTTGCTTTGAGCCAATATCAAGGTGTTTTAGGCATGGAAAAAAGGGGTCTCCTTTAGTGGGCAGTGATCTTTCATCTTGCATCACTGCAGCCATTTTTCATTTGTACAAAACTGTTATTTATCTGGGTGACATTTAACCACACACACTCTCAGAACCAGAGCATCAAGCTGCTATTACACCTCCAAGCAGAACAGATGAAAAGTTGTTCACTGTGCATATAGAGCCTGAGAAAATGTGTGTTACATTTCTCAGATTAAAGTCTCTAGTTTTTGTCTGAAGTTGTGGATTTCTTGGAAATAATGTGGAAATTCACCAGGACTTATTTCTATGCGGTTTGCATGTCAATAGGAATTATAGATTAGTTGCTCAATATGATGTTTGATGTAAGGCTGTAGATATGCTAAACTGTAATGAGCATGTGATCATGACTCCCTCTAGTGGTTGATCCCAGACACTGTACAGCCTATTTCTTACAGCCAAAAGAGTTCTTTAGTTCCAGTTGCAGAAGCTGGTGCTGAAGGTTCTGAGTTCGATCCCCAATGACAACCACGGTTTTGGTGTGTGTATATGCAGCTCCGCTTGGTACTCAAGTCCTTATTGGTTTAGAATACTCATGTGCAGAACTAACTAGAATCTCCCAATTTATTTTCACAATATTTTTGCAGCTAAAGCACTCCTTTTGATGACATTTTGAGAAAATTTGACATAAGCAAAATGTAAATGACTTAAGGGCCCAGCTCCTTAGCTGGTGTAAATCAGCATAACTCCACTGACACCACCAGCTGAAGTTCTGGCCCAACAGCTGCGCAGTCCTGGACAGACATGCAGAATGGAACTTCTTAGATTACAAAGCCAGCATGGTGATCATCTGGTCTGACTTCCTGCTTGATACAGGCCCTAGAACTTAACTGAGTAATGCCGGAACTACAATTTCTCTCTCTCTCTCCCTTTCTTTCTTTCTTATTTACCATGCATGCACTTCCTAAATAACTCCACTTTTTCTTCTTTTAGTGACACTCTTCAGAACCATTAGCATAACTATTGTAGGGGAAATTTGGCTCTGAAGCTGTATCCTGGGCCAGACTTCCCCAAAGTCTAGGGTTCTTCACATCCAGGAATTTGGTTCAGACCCATCTAGTTTGAAACTGAAACCCAGTTTCGGACTGATCAGGGTCAGGAATGAGAAGCATCTGCACATCACCCATTGGTATAAATAAAACAGAGAAGGCTTTGGCAGGGGATCAGAAGAATGGTTCCCTGGCACATTTAACCATATGGCTTGTGAAACTGCAGATACCAGTGTGTTTCAGAACAGAAAAGTAAGAGTCAAGAGTAAGAACAAATGAGTGGAAATATGGGGTCTCATCCTCTGTCACAGCAACGTAAGTCAATAATAACTCCATTGAAATCAGTGGAGTTATGACAGTGTCAAATTTATGTATGTGAAAGGAGAATCAGTTCCATGGACATATTTTGACTTATGGTATTTAATGGCAAATCCTATAGTGGTGTACTGTAATTAAGAAAGAGCAATAGCAACACTTCTAACCAACAAGGATTGTACCCCAGCCACGTTAGTATAACAAAATACAGTATAAGTGTGCTATAGCACCCTCTAGCTAACTCCAAAGTAACTCAAATCAACATGTAATTTCTACTTCATAAGATACTTTCTTCCTTTAGCAGAAATAATATCATAATGATAATCATTCCTCAACAATACTGTTACATTTTTATAGCTGCCAAGTAGTGATCAGACTTAACCAAAATAACACTTTCTAATCTTAAATATTGTAGTACAGTAACCTCAGCATGAAACAATTGAAAACAAGAGAGGTTATAGGCATTTACAATTTTTTTACACATATATGTGCGCCTCAGATTATAATTTGAAATTAGTTAAGTACTGACAGTGTATTCGGAAACTTGGAACAAATTAATTTTGTGGAAGAGCATTGATCTTTTTGTTCCTGATGTGAGGTTGCAAGGTGTAGCCATGTTTAGCCATTGTTAATGTTTGATTGTAGTTAGACCTTCCTGCTTCACAAGCTGAAATGAACCACTGAACTTAAATTGTCCTGTCTTTATAAATCAATTTTTATGTTTTCTTACAAAAAAGCTATGCTGGAATTGGCATTAGTGAGTACATCTGTGTACCATTCACTTTTATCTGACTTTTGTTAAATTATGTCTTGTACATTCTGTTGTGTGGAATTGTGTTCAGAGCTAGGCAAACATTACCAAAAACTCTCAGATAATAGTTTGTTTGAATAATTTAACTAATTTGTTTTGACTGCTCACATCCTTTTTGTGCTGACTTTCTTCAGCTATTTTAGTGAATGAATTTACTGGCAGAAGTATTCATTAAAACAGCAAAGTTTAAGTAAATATTATAGGATATTTGCAAAAAGAAAAATTCTAATTCGGAATTATAAGTATTCACTCAGAAACCTGATTTGAAGAGTCACATTCAGCCAATCAGGGAACAGAAACATGTAATGTGACGAATATGTCCAGTCAAAACAGCTGAAATGCTGAATACCAATCTTGTAATGAATTGCTACTGGCAAAGACACATTCAAAGACTAATTTGTGGTAATAATTAATGAATAGATTTGAGCAAATCACAACAGCTCATGAACTGAGAAAGTTACTATATTAATGGGAAAAGTTATTCAATGCAAATTATTCACCCATTTCTAACTATGTAGTAACTTTTGTTCAGATTTAGGGCTTTGGAGAACATTAACCATTAACTTGGGCTTCCTGCTTCTTCTGTGCAGCAGTCCTGCAGGATACATCTGGGTTGTTGCATGTCAGACTGGCAGTTATGTAAGAAATCTATAGTGAATGATTTTCAGGATTTCTCTTCTAGGTCAACAGTTTGCAAGCAGCCTTTCAAAACTCTATTAAAAATGTTCAATTTCCTATGAGTTTATGGATAACAAATGGAAGAAGTCTTTCGTGTTGCTCTCCTTCAGATCTTCTCTTAAAGCTGGAGTTCATTGTCAGAGACAATTTCCTTCATGATTAAAATTTGTTAATGAGAACTTGGTTACTGGAGTGTAAGTACGCTGGGGAAGTAATGGCTACTTCTATTTACTGAAATAATCAGTTGCAGTAATAGTATAACAGCAGTCCTCTGGTACTACTTGAGAAGGTCCTACTATAGCAATAGAAATCTTTTCTCATGTAGAATCAGGTGAGGGAACTTGTGACAAAAAGTGCTACATATGACAGCTGTTTTATTAGGCTATGGCTCAGAGTCATAACACAGTGACTTTGTCATGCCTGAGGTAGATTTCCCAGGATTTTTATAGCCCTCTCAATTTGGAAGTTGAATCCTGGCTGTCAGTAAAGATCTTTGAGCCTTTGTTTGGTTTGGACCACTCTCTGCTAAGTTTCAAACAGGTCGAATAGATCTCATCATCATCATGTTCCCATTACACCTCTGGTATTTAGGGCAGCGACGAAGCTCCTCCACTCCTGTCTGTTTCTGGCAAGTCTTTCAATGGTTCCCCAACTGTGCCCCAGGTTTTTCAGGTCAGCTTCCACAGCTCTTTGCCATGTTGTTTTTGGGGGCCTCGTTTTCGCTTGCCTTCAGGTTCCATCTTCTTGCTATTCTGGTGATGGAATCAGTTTCCATCCGAAGCACATGGCCAAACCAGCTCCAGCACCTCCTGGTAATGATGTTGCTCATATCTTCTTGGCTGCACTGTATGAATTGGTCTTCATTTGAGATTGTTCTGGGCTAAAAGATACAGAGGATTTTTCTGAAGCAGGTTGTATGGAATGAATAGATCTGGGCTGGACCTCAATAAGAACAATCAGCCAATGAGTGCTACATATCACATTTATTATTATTTCATTAGTAGTATTAAAATAGTGTCCAGAGGTTCTAGTTAGAAGCAGGACTCCATCGTGGTGTGTGCTATAAACACATAAAAGTAGAAGACAGGATCTGCTGCGAGGAGCTAGATTTAACCCATCATAAATATAAAAGAACCTATAAGTGTCTGAAATCAACATTTTTGTGATTTATGGACATCCTTTTTTAAAGCAACCTCCTGCTTTCTGTAGCACAGGACATGTTTCAGATCAGATGTTGCTTTTGACTGTTGTGTAGCACAGTATTAAGATCACCTGTCACAGGTGAACATATTTCCACATCTTCTTCCAGTTGTTGTCATAGGCAAGTAAGGCAAGAAATCTGCATCAACTGATATTTTCTCATCCTGGCTGGTACAAAATGTTATAGAAAAGTAAAACATCAAGTGAACAAGTCATTGTGTGTACAGTTTGATTCCCTTAAATCCAATTGGATGGTAGAGGATGATATCTCTGAAGCAAACTTATGTTCCAAGATGTACATTTTTTTCAGTTACCCAGACCCAGGCATGTACTTCTTTTTCAACCATAGAGTTTTCTTGGTCTTAGTTACTGTCTCTAGTACAATTGTTCTTTCAGACTTATATCTTTATAGAACTGAGTAAGTGTTTCACCTTTGTACTAAGTTAGTCAGTTACAAGGCTGAAACAAGGTAATCACTGTGCTTTTAGCAACCCATTCTTCAAAATAGAACTGAATAGCATTTATCAGGAAAACATGGCATTAGAATGTAATAATGTCTGGCAGGATTCCACTACTCTTGCATAATATGGAATAAATTTGGCATAGACATGCCATGAAGTACATGTCCCAGGAAAGAATGACAAAGAACTACTGTTTGTGGAGAGCAAGTTGCAGAATCACATGCACAACTCTCCTCAGAAACAGAATTTGAAATTCCCATGCATAAGTGTTCTCGACAGAAGTGCTTGTGTAGCTCCGGAATCAAAATGGAAACAATGCCATATGACAGATCACCCAGTCATAACTCACCAATGTCTTATCTTCAAGCTGGATTGAATACTCACAGGACACTGTTTGTGATCAATCCATAAATTTTAAAATTTGACACAAAATGTTAAATTCAATGACCATAGAATCCAATTGCAGACCGTATGGGAGAAGATGCTGGTTACATTCATGTGATACATTTATTTGTTGAAAGTTACTTGCTCATCTGTAGTTCTGCTTGTCCACACCTATGAGACTGAGCATCTTCTGTAGTTGGCTACGGTCAGAATAGCTCCACAATGGTAGGCTTTGACTATCCGTGCATGTCTTTGTTTGAATAAATAGAGGATATACACATGTACAGTGCCTCAGAGATATGAACTGGATTCTGAGTGCAACCATTTTGTTGGCCACCCCTAGGAGATTGCACGGTTAGGCCAGAATCCTGCAAAACAACAAAGCACATGCTTAACCTGAAGCATATGCATAGTCCCATTGGCTTCAGTGGGTCTACTATATGCTTAAAGTTAAGACATGTGCTTTAGGGCCTTGGTGAATCAGTCTCATTTGAATTAACTGTTTGGACAAGGTCTGTAGTCCCCATAGCAATTATTTTAGCCTCTGCTTTGCCATAGCAGACTAAATGTTGCTAGCAACGTTCAGGTATAACTGAATTTGTTCGTGTATAGATGCTTTATATTGCTGCTTTTCTGCATTAGCTGCTCTTGAATCATCTCATTTAATTTAAGTCCCTATTAGAACATAATAAGTTCCTGTAAAGTATCAATAGATTCCCGTAAAGTAGCAATGCAACGGTCAGTAGAGTGACACAGTTTCCATGCACATGGTCAAAATGTGTATTGTTCTACAACTACATTCACAATAGATATTAAGACCTTTGGAGCATTCTGGTTATCAGGGAGAGAAATCCCAACTATATGTTGACCTCTAATACTAAGACTTTTTGGGGTCAAATTATGACCATTAGCCACAGCTGTTAAGGATGGGGGGGGGGGCAGAGGGCAGGCAAGGGCAGTGTTTCATTACCAATAACTGATGCTGCAGATAGGCAGAACTGTAGGAAAGAGATCTTTGTCAGTGTTAACTCTTGTGACAAATCTCATGTCATTTGTTTTTCCCCAAAACCCGGATGCTAGAATCAAGAGATTACATAAGAATCTTCACTTTCATTTTTTAAAAAAAGTGAGTTTCTAGCCCTCACCATTGTGGGGAAAAGATTTAAAACCTGAAGCAAGTGCACCCCATAGGTTCAGAAGCCAGAAAGCAAGAATAAGAACCCACGTGTTTTAATTTTGAAAGCATGCTGGGAGGCCAATGTTACATGCTGAGGTTCTGTTGATTAAGTGGTAACAGCCTGGGTTTGCCTTGCAATCCTGAGCCTCTGGTGCCACATCAGATTGGGTCCCTCTTGAAACATGATCCTCTAGTTCCACTCATCAAACACTAGGCAGGGCAGTAACCCCACCTCCTCTGCAGTGCTGGAAACCCCTGGTGGCACACAGGGAGGTACGTCCCTATGCTTCTTCACATGCAGAGACTACTGAAACTGTTCTAGCTTTTATAATGCAGGGCCTTGAAAGGGGGAGGCTCCTTGTGTTCACCATAACCACATAGCTTCACAGGGGGCATGTGATAGTCTGACCCTATGCTTCTTCCTGGCATCTAGGAGCACATCCCCAATAACAAAATTATAGTGCTTAGAAATGGAAACCTATTTATAAAAGGCAATAGGAGGAGGGCAGGACAGAAATGCAGAAGTAAGTTCAAGTGGGAAAATAGCCATCCTTATCACCACAATGTTAAATAATAAAGCTGTATCACTGAAACTAGATCACATCACACCAATGGCCACCTGGTTCTAGTAACCCAATGTTAAGAACAGTGAAGTCCAGTCTCTTACTGTCTATTCTGAGTCAAGATTTATAGGAGACCCTTTGAGGAGGTGGCATGAGGTGTTGTGGACTGTTTTTAGAAGCTTGGGAGTATTACAGACATATCTATTACTGTTGGATTCACTGCAACAATACCCTACCTTTTTTATACTTTGCTACAACAACTGCAGCCGGGTTATTATCTACAAGATACTATTCTTTAGCTGGAAAATTGTCAGTTAAAATTAATAATTTTAGCATAATTCAACAGTAATGAAGGTTCATTTACATTTACTTTGTTTTTTATTGTTTTAAATGGTATTCCAGTTAGATTACCCACATACATTATTACTGTAATCTGCTTTGAGATCTATGGATGAAAAGCACTATCTAAGAGCTCAATAGTATAATTATTATATTACTACATTGATACTTATCGATAAGCTAGACATAATCTATGTGACATGTCACTATCGCTGAAGTAACCCAGAATTATGGTATAGTACACAGGAGGGGCTCTTACAAGAAAAAGCGCACACATGGAATGCCACCGGATCATTTATTTTTTTGCACCTCCCTCATGAGTATGAAATGCCAACGTGGTTGAGAGATAGAAGTAAGTAATTTATAACTAAAATGAAGCCTGCTACGGATAAAGGTCTGCAGGAGACTGGAGAGTTTATTTGCTGAGTTACTATGCAAATGTAACAATTAAATCTTAACTCAGCTCCTGAGGGAATAGCAGGGATTACTAAAGGAAAGGGAATTCAACATGATTAAAAAAAGAAGAATATAGAAGAATACCCTGCAGTTGATCATTTCTGCCCTGCACAGTAAGTATCACAGCAGTCAGTGGGAATTACTGTACAGAGTTCAAGGCATAACTGTACACAATAGGAAAAATACATCTAGGAAATATAAAACATCCACCACATAAATCAACTTTTTTGTTTGTTTTTGTTTGCAAAATTGAATTAATGAATTTATCTTCAAGGCCTTGACTGAATTCCAGATTCCTTGCTGCTACGTGCAGCCTGGTGAAAATAACAAAACAGGCTCCCCCCTTCATCCCCCAACTCTTTGGTTAAATTGAGCTGAGCCTTTTTAATTTATTTTTACTACCCACACTTTCTAAGTTTGGTAGTTCGAGCAAGAGACTTCTCTTTTGACAGGCTGTCTCTTGGGTCCCCCACTGAAAAGGCCAAAGCTCCCAGTGCAGCAGCAATTGCTGCCTTTAAACAGGAGACGAGCACTTCTTGCTTTCCTGTAGCTGCATGCAAATATAGAGGCTTGGTGCTACACCGCTCTACCCAGCCAGCTTCCTTGTGATATGTGTCCTGCATGGCAATGGCCAATACAAGTGATCATCCAGCGCTGTGTCTTTGAGTGCGTTAATGGCTCTGACCCTGGTCCACTGATCACCCACTTCAGCAGGGGTCTCCTCATTTGTACAAACGGCATTTTCAGTCCCTGCAGCCTCCCAGCTTTATGTGTCAGAGAACCTTTCTTTCTGCTCTGGCTCTTCAGGGGAGGTCGATGAAGGGGGCGGGGGGGTCTCACTCTTCAGCACGCGTAAATAGTAATTCCATGACAACAACTCTTTGTTTGGGTTTGTTGTGGGGTTTTTTTTGTTAAAAAGAAAGCATGTTTTCTTTTTTTAAATAGAATAATAATGGCATTAGATCCATTGTCATTGACATAACACTACCCACAGTGTGCATCCGGGAGTAGTTGGAGGTTTTTAAGCCAGAGGCAAGAGTATCTTACTGCAAAAAAACTGAACTGTATTTAGTCCTTCCCCTCCTCCCCCTTTGAGGTGCCAGAGACAAATCTAAATACATATGTTCCAAGACACACACAAAACATGGGTTTAACAAAACAGGAGAGCTTGCTACACAAAAAGTTACAGAAGTTGTGAACATTCCCATCAAAGGTTCACAATCTGCCCCTATGATTTTTTGGGGAGAAAAGTAAAAAAAGAAAGAAAGGAACAGCAGAGAGAGCTACAGAAGAAGTGTGAACTCTGGGGGAGGGGAAACCAGAGTGGTTGTAGGTCACCTTCATGACCCTCCAATCCTAGAGCCAACAAGTCTGGACTCCAGTAGAGATTAACTGAGTAGCTGGCTGTGTGGGGATTGGGGGGGGGAGGAGGGGTAGACCCAAACTAGGCATCATTTCTGTTTTCAATTTGCTTCCTATAGAAATTGGTTCTGTCATGATCCAGCATGGGACTGTACAAGATAGCCTGGTCATACCTTGCACATCTTACACCAACTCAGCTGATAAGCCACCACCACTGAGCCCTGTTTAGATATTTTACAAATATTTTTCATGTTGCTACAAACAAACATTGGATGTTACAATATTCACCAACTAAGTCCCAATAATGACCGTCTATTTGCATGCATTAGTAAACAAAACCAATCCTATAATTCTGTGGTCTGAATTATTTACCCCACCCCATGAAATTATTAATGGTGAATCAAATTTCAAAATATCTTTCAAAAAAATGTTACTAGGTAAATTTCTGCAACACCAGTATTTAAATATATGATTATATTTATATGTACATGATTATATAGCATGGAATGCTTACACATATTTTAATGTGCATATAATTTTCCTGATAGACTTTAAAAATCCTTTCTTCTCTTGCTATCACAGGCTGGGCTGATGGATGTCAGCTGAAGTGTATGAGGATACATGGGACACATCTTGGGCCTGATTCCCCCCCTGCCTCCCCTCCCACCATTGACTTCAACTGCCATGACCATGGACAGCAGCCAGACAGGCACAGCAGACCGTAACTAAGAAGGATTTACACAACACACTGTAATTGCAGGCATTATAGCATGTGGGGTCAAAACACACTTGTAAAAATGTGCCCTATGGAGTTTTCCAAACCCATTAGGATAGATTGGGTAAATAAAGTATGTCCTCAAAATGAGTCCAGGTCACTCTTTTTTTCATTACCTTAGATCTCCCTGTGCCAGATAACATTAAAGGCCAGATTGTCTCCCTGCAGGGTATGAGTAATTCCCATTGACTTCTGAGGTCAGTGCTTTGCCTTGATCCTCAAATGCAGGAAGGAGGATGGTATAAGGATATGGGTACTATTTCTTTAAATCTGCAGTGGGAAGCCAGACACACGGGGCCTGGGGAAGGTTTTAGATTCACTCTCCACAGTCATGCAGAGACAGTAACTAGATGGTTAATACTATTTCTCCCTGGTTAATGCTGGAAGAAAGTGATGCGTTCTGTGATTCTTTACCACCTCATAGAGCTTGGGAAGAAAAGGAGGGAGCTGTGGGCTGTGGAGTGACTTAGCTGTGAGCCCACTCTAAGCCCACTCTAAGCCTGAAAGAAGTGCAGTGTGATTTTGGGGGATGGGCAAGACTCAGGCTGCTGCATATTTGGCCTGAGCTGGTTCTACCTATCCCAGTAGAATGCACTAGCCTTTCACTTCTAGAGCCCTGAATTTGTGTGTAAATTAAGTTCAGAGGTCCCATGGCAGCCATTAGTAGGATTGTTATGCCTCACAAATGTGTTACACAGTTTGGCACAATTCAGCAGGGACCTCTGCTCAAAAGAGATCCAGGAGGTAGGGATGGACGATGGATCTGAGGGGTGGTGAGATCAGAAAATGCCCACGAGTTTTCCTGCCTTCTAATATAAACAAGAGGCAACAGCAGTACTCAGAGAGCAGGGGCAACCAATTCTTCCTAAAAGTGGGGGATTCTTCCCTTCAGTGCCCTGCCCCCGCTTCTCCTCTTCCCTCCAAGGCCCCATCCCCAAGTCAGAAGCCAGAGCCAGGGAACTCGGGTCGCGCCACCTGCCTGGGCTGAGGGGCCTCTGAGAGCAGCCCCCTGCCCATGTCTCTGCCCCCTGGGCCCTCTCCCAGGGCAGGTGGAGGGTCCGCAGATCCCCACAGTTGCCTGGGATCCCCAGGCCACTCTTACCCGGGCCGGGCTCCAGCTTCCAGCCTCGCCGGGGGCCAGTCCTAAGGGAGAAGAGGAGGGGCTGGGAGGATGGAGCATGCTAGCTAGCTCAAGGAGGGAAGAGAGAGAGGGAGCTGGAGGCCTCAGCCAGCCCGTGGGAGAAGAGAGAAGGGTGTGTGCATACCCCAAAGTGAACGAGGATAGGAGAGAGAACAGGAAAAACTGGGGGAGAAGATAGAACAGAGGAGAGAAAAGATATATGCAGTTTTGTAGCTATTTTGGTTCCAGGATATTAGAGAGACAAGGTGGGTGAGTAATATCTTTTATTGGACCAACTTCTGTTGGTGAGAGAGACAAGTTTTTGAGCTTACACAGAGTTCTTCTTCAGGTCTGGGAAATGTACTCAGTGTCACAGCTAAATACAAGATGAAACAGATTGTTTAGCATAAGTAGTTAACACATATTTCAAGGGACCATTCTAGGTGAAATGGCACATTGACACCCCTCCAGTCACAGGAAGGAAGGAAGAAGGGGGCGGGGTTTTTTAGTGGGTTACAGCTTGTTGTAATGGGCCATAAATCCAGTGTCTCTGTTCAGTCCATGATTTTTACTGTCTAGTGAAGTTATGAATTTAAGCTCCCAGACTCATCTTTTGAAAATGTTGTGCAAGTTTCCTTTGAGGATGAGGACTGATAGCTCAGATATAGAATGATCACTTTGTGATGCTTTTTGTCTTTTATTTTCCTGCGTGATTTCATGTGAGTGTGCAGTTATCATCTGGTTTCACCCACATACTTGCTATTACGGGCATTTAGTGCACTAGACGAGGTACACGACATTTTGTGATAGGTATGTGTAGGACCCATAGATCTTAAAAGGTGTGTTGTGAGCAGTGTTGATCATTGTAGCAGTGGAGTTATGACTGCAGGTTTTGCATATGTTGTTCTGGCAAGTGCTGATGCTGCTTTAAGTTGGTGTGTCCTGGTCTGTGAGGAGCTTGCTTCTGATGAGCTTGGTGAGGTGCAGGGGTTGTTTGAAGGCCAGAAGTGGGAGTTCAGGAAAGATTGCTTGCAGGATGTGGTCCCCATTGACTGCGGGTTGTAGCTGTTTGATGATACCCCATATGGGTTCCAGTGTGGGGTGGCAGGTGACAACTAGGAGTGTGCGGTTGGCAGGGATTTTATTTCTGTATTGAAGCAGCATCTCTCAGGGTATTTGGGTGGCCGTTCCATGAAGCAATCTACTTCTCTAGTGTAGTGTCCTTGTTTTGTGAAGGTAGTTTTGAGCATGTTAAGGTGTGTGTGCTCTGAGGATAAAGTTTCCCAGACCTGAAGAAGAAGCTCTGTGTAAGCTCAAAACAGAGTTGATTCAATAGAAAAGAGGAAAGCTAGAAATATATAAAAGGGGAGAGGTGAAGGCAGAGGAAATATCCTATCAGAAACCATACTTGTCAACTTTGGCCAGGAGGCGCTGCTGGAAGAGCTGATTCAGGAATCTTCTGACCTAACAAAGGGAAATATTGAAACAAAAAGGCCCCCGTTTATTTGAACAAATTACTGTTATTCCACTGTCTTTTTGGGCCTCTGCTGCCTCCATTCCAGCAACTTCTCACCTGTATCAGCTGGCTTGCCTCTCCACCCACTGCAGCCTGGCTCACATTTCCCCTCGGCCTCATTCTCCCATCTCCCTTGCTTTCCTCCAGTACCTGGCCTGCCTCTACAATTGCCACAACTTCTCCACAGCTCCTCCCTTCTCCAGGTTGACACTATTTTCTGAGGCACAGTTTTCCACAACCTAACCCTTAGGCCCTGCTATTTGGAGCCCATTTGGCTACAGAATGGGCCCCTGCCAGGACTGGGATAGCAAGGTGTGATGCAGGCCAGGATTCAGGTGTGCTGAGGAAGTGCTGTGTAAGGAAAGCTTGCCTAGCCAGCACTCTCAGTCCCTCACTTTTATGAGTACTAACTTCACCCACAAAGTTGGAAGGAAAAAAAAGTCCACCCTGGAGCAAATTTTCGCAGTCATGTTAAACACTCTTCTCTTGAACAGCAGGGTTTATAATGGAAATGCTGATACAACCTTAACCTTGGCGGCATGAGCACTGAGGCTGTAATAATCAATTTAAAGAGCAGAATCAGTGCTACAAGCATCAATAGGAATCCTTGAGAATATGGCATAGACAGAACAAAAAAGGGTCAGAGCTGAACAAAAAAGACTTAGAAATTTGCTTTAAATTCTGCCGAGATGTCAAGGTCCCACCCCACCTTCGTATGGAAACAATAAGGCAAAAAAATACAAATTGCTCATGCCTTTAATGATTAAATGACATCACATCTGAGTCTAGTTTCCTTTTTATCCAGCCTGGCAAGATATCAGAAGAGCAGCTCCTTGGTGGATCTGGATTGCAGTGGATGTAATATGTGTAGGAACTGTGTGTGCGTGTGTGTGTGTGTGTGTGTGTGTGTGTGTGTGAGAACAGTTGCAAGGGGGACATCCCTTTAATT